AGCAATAAAATAGAACAAAATTGGGAATATATAAAGAACTCGTCAAAAGCAAATCCCATTAACAGACTAACATTAATAAACAAATTTTCAAACTTAAAGGGGAAAATAATAACTACAGATCATACGCAAGGACCTATCATGGGAAAAATAACTCGCGAGCTCAAATCACGTGACCAAACTGTAGTGATGAGGCATATGATTCAAGAAACAACAGAACAGGAGACATTTTCGCCACTTAAAGCATGTGAAGGATGTCCGTTACAAGAATCACTCCCTACACTAGACACCAAAACTAAAGGATCAAATACCAAATACTGTGCAATTACTGCAGACGTTACAAAAGTTAGTTATTTACCAACTAGAAACTCACGTGTCTCAATTGGAAATCCAGAAGATAAAAGAATCAAAACCAGAATTGTAATATCTCCTCGCTCCCTACAACACTATCATGAAAATAATCCAAAGCCAGTTATTAAAAAACAATTTAAACATAATATAAATGATCACACATTCTTACAAAAAATCATTGATACAGATACACAAACGTTAGAAATGTTAGAAGAATATACTAGAAAATTACAAAGAAGCAAACAAATAATAGCATACACAGATGGATCCCTTATCACAGATGTGTCTTCAAATAGCTCAACCATAGAACTAAAAAAACAACGCATGGGCTTTGGGGCAATATGTCTTGTGGAAAATCTCAACCTAGGAAGAATCGAATGGAAAGGAAAAGTGGAAGGTCCACCTTCATCAACAAGAGCTGAACTATGGGCTATTCTTTCAGTCCTATGGGTAATTCCTAACAAAACCTCGATAAAAATAATTACAGATAGTGAATCTTCAATTAAAGCAATCAAAGGATACACAGATGAGCGTAAGGGAAAACACTGGAGTAATTACAGTAATCCATTAATACTGCAAACAATCAAAGAATTAATATATACAAAAGAAATCAACTTAGAACTAGAAAAAATCAAAGCACATCAAGGGGATTACAACAATGAAAGAGCAGATGAATTAGCAAAACTCGGATCAAACTCAGGATCTATTTTTTCAATAAATTCCAAATATTTACGAGAGCAACAATTTAGACATAAATGGAATGATAACAATATTGATGTGTCAGTTAAAGAACTTGTTAAAACAAAAGGAGAAATTGAATCAACCATTTCTTGGTTTACACAACACCGAATATATAAATGGCTAAACAAAAATATAAGGAAAGAAACAAATTGGAAATGGTCACAAGAGGTGTGGCAAAATTCCAAAATCACTGACAACAAAACTTCAACTAGAGATAACTCACTTCGCTCTTTCTCAATAAAATTACTAAATGAGGAACTCCCAACAATGAAAGTATTACATACAAGAAAACCTGAGATATATAAGGATAAGAAATGTCCTTTCTGTAATATATATGATGAAACCAATACACATGTATTCATGTGCAAAGATACTCCAAACACCTTAAAAAATACTTTTTGTTATATTCTAAAAAAAGTATTCACACAAGAAACAGGAAAGAAAACTGATCCAAATATGTTAAAGAAAATATACAATAGTCACTTTCTTCAAGTAGATATAGGAAGACAAATAAGAGACACCCTCCCTGTTGACCGGTTTGCATATAATGATTTAGTTAAAGGATTAATCCCTCGATCAATATATAATATAGTGAAAAACTACATAAATCAAGCTGCAATAACGAAAACGGTCATACTCAAAACATTTTACAAATGGAAAGAAATACTTCGGTCCACTTGGATAATGAGATGTAAGGAATTTTTAAAATGGGAAATATCAAATGAAATCAATGAAATAAAAAAGAAAAGTAAAGGGAAAAGACCATTTGATGACTTTGAATATTTAGAACTTAAAAAACAATTAGTACAATGGGGAAAGAAAATATCTATAGAGGTTATTGATAGAAGTTACAAATACAATTCAGACATTTTAAATAATATATTCTTTAGTGGAAATAATATAATTATGTTATTTCCACTTAGTCTAGGTTATTCCCACTCAGGCGGGTGGCGTGACGACAGAAATTGGCCACTGTCATCATGTGGTCTGACGACAGAAATTGGCCACCGTCGTCATGTGGTCTGACGACAAAAGTTGGCCACCATCGTCAGTGGCGTGATATATTTTTTAGGCCACACTCGAATGGATATATATCGGGTTGGCAGTCTGACCGATTTCTATTATCAGATCGCATATGACACAATGTATATCAATTTGGTGATCACGGCTGATTTTAAAACTAATGAGCTCCCCGAAATAGGTTATGACGTTACATGCGCGACTACTCTGTATGATGTTTTAAAGCTTCTAGATTTTTAAATTCGTTATCAAAAATTGTATAGTGTATGGTAGTTATATTTGATTTCGAATATAAGGAGCTTCCCGAGGTAGGTTATGTTAGGAGAGAGTCGGCTGTAGGTTATTTCATATCAGATATGTGGCAGTGAGCATGTGGCCTGACGATAAAAGTTGGCCACTGTCGTCATTCGAGTGACGATGAGGTCAGAGGAGACAAAAAAAAAGTAATAGTATATGATATGATTTACATATCATTGGTAGTATCAGGATTCTTGATAGCAAGTTTACGAATA